ATATCTCTTGTAAAAGTGATGGATTAACAGGAGTTCTCTTGAAGTGTTATTTTCAAAACAATATAATGAAAACATTCAGCTTGTTCTCTTTATCTGGTCTCACATGCAATATAAGTACACAGGCTGAATACACACACTGTGAAAACCTTGTAGATTACATTGTTTGGGTAGATAGCTTACAGCTCTTTCATACATGACTTTGTTTACGTATCAAAGATCTGTATTTATGCAGATCTTTGGATGATGTTTTCTCCTCCATTGCAAGCACCACAGAGTATTCCCTGTTGATACCAGCTTGTAATTAACTTGACTGTTAAAAAAGTGTAATGTCATTAAGTATCTTGAAAACTATCAGAAAACACATTCTTAACTTTCTATGCTTAGCTTACTTTTATTGCTGTTAGACTTTTTATCTAGTTTAATGATTTGAAGACCTTTTTACACTTATTATATAGAAAGCTAGATGTGGAATATGAAGGACATGCTTTCCCCATGTAACAGATGCTAATGACATATGCTTATTGGTCTTATCCTCTGCCATATCAGAGATACAGTTTATTTGTATCTTGAATCAGTTTTGACTATTTTAGGTATTCTTTTGGACTTATTAAGGTAGCCTTGTATTATTTATGACTGTTCTTTCCCTTATCCTGTATTTTAACTTAAAAGGATATTGCATCTCTACTACAAAGTTGCTTCCCTTGCAGATATTCTTCAGTTATACAGTATGCTTTTGTTTTTGCCTTTAAATATAATTATTTAAAATGTTTTTAGTGCTTTGTGTACTGGACATTTCTTTGCTACACATGAATCAGTGAATGCCCAGTTCAGATTAGAAATACATGCTTTTGGATTCTTTTTAAGAAATATACATTTGGTACCAAGGACACTTGTTGATATGTGCACTAAGTCTTACTCAAATACTTTAATTTGTCCTTTGAATATCTTACACTTTTGGTTAATTAATGGCTTTTTATAATATTAAATTTTCATCACTCAGTAATTTTTCTCGTTTCAAATTTTATGCTATTATAATCGCATCAGAAGTCAAAGCATATCTATGCATCAGCACTTCGATTACTCTCAATGCTCATTTTTCCTTTGAAAACAGAATGTCTCATTCAGCATCGCAGATTTCCCCTATTTGCATCAATGAACTTAATATTAAAGACCTCTGCTCCAAAGCCGTCCTTGATTTTTTACCCTTGACTTAAAAAAAACAAAAAACCCAGCTTTTCTGGTCCGCCTAAGCTCCAACAAAGACTAGCTTTTGCTAGTAATCTAGTCCTTGCAGTACTCCTAGTTTCAGAGTCCACAGATGCAAGAAAGTTAGATGATCGCTTTTTCTTATTCTTTGCTAGGTTTGTAGGAACAGAGATAGATTTTTCTCAAAGGCAAACAGAAAAAGAATAAGAAATCATTTGCTATGTCTCTTTTTAGAGGAGGATAAGCATCATATAACTGCATGCGTACACTGCATTTGCTCAGATTCTCAGTCTTGGCATTTCAAAACGCATTAGCAAACAATCCTTTCTTTCAAGTGTTTGGTGGTAGATAAACATAAGAGGCAGCCATATTTAAACATGGAAACTGCTATTCCCAAAAGTTGTGTTGGAAAACTATTTAAAACATGGTTTATGAAAGAAAGAAAATTCTCGCTTTCCTCTGATAGGTAGTTTATAAAAAAAGTCATTTTTATAATTTGCTAATTCAAGATCCTTATTAAGTATTTAGAGTTTTAATCTTAAAATTATTATTAACACCTATTTACACTCCTGTTAATAGTATGTATCTTTCAAATTATCTGGAAGTTCAGCTTGTTCATACAGACCTTTTAAAATGATTCCTAGTTTCCTAGTCTACTGTCATATTTAGCACGATTTCCTAGTCTGAGCAAAGATCTTCCTCAAAAGCTTACCTCCGGCTAAAATAAATGGAAAAATTTCAGAGAATATGGATTTTTCCCCCCAAGCTACAAGCAAGCCTCCTATGGGATGATTAGAAACATCAAACAATTAGAAATCCCCTACAACGGCAGGCAGTTATATTCAGGTTCTGCTTCCAAATCGAAGGGCTTAGTTTTCTTATTTCATACCTGGCAACAGCATTAGTTTGACATGGTTCCACTATAGTCACTAAATAAGCATTTCAAACATTCACTGGCACATCACAGAATCACAGAATAACCTAGGTTGGAAGGGATCTCTGGAGCTCATCTAGTCCAACCTCCTGCTCAAAGCAAATCCAGCTACACCAGGTTGTGCAGAGCAGTGTCCATTTGAGTTCTCACTGTCTCTGAGGACAGAGATGCCACAGCCTCTCTTGGCAACCTCTTTCCATCTGTCTGACCACCCTCATTGTGAAAAGTTTTTTTTCTTATATCTAACTGGAATATCCTGTGTTCCAGCTTGCAATTGCATCTGTTGCCTCTTGTCCTATCACTGGGCACCTCTAAGCAGAGTCTGGCTCTGCTGTCTCTACTTTCCTGTTAGGCACCTGAATTCACCTCAGTGCAGCAATAAGATTGCCGCTAAGCCTTTTCTTCTCAAGGTTGAATATACCCAGTTCTCACAGCCTTCTATCAGGCGTCATGTGCTCCAACTCCCTCCCCCCCTTGCTGGCCTCTGCTGGGCTTGCCACAGTACATCCCTGTCTGTCTTTTAACTGTGGAGCCCAAACATGTACACTATACTCCAGATGCCTTACAACAGCCACAAAAGAGGGGAGTAATCACTGCTGGCTGAAATCCTGCTAACGTAGCCTTTGTTGTTCAAGTTATTATCTAGCAGGGCCCAGCAAAGGCGCTCTATAGCCAGTCAGCTCCCAGCGTGTACTGCTGCATGCGGCTATTTCATGCCCAATGCAGAACTGCGTTTGCCTTTGTTGGACTTCATAAGGCTCCTGTGAGCCCATTTCTCCAGCCTGTCAAGGTCCCACTGAAAAGCAGCCCAACCCTCTAGCATATCAGCCACTCCCTGCAACTTGACATCATCTGCAAACTTGCTGAGAGTGTACTGAGTGACGCATTGTCCAAGTCAGTAGTAATTCTATCTAATTACTCTAATTTCTATCCTTTCCTATAACACTGAAAATGGAGTCTTTTAAGAATATATTCCATTAACAACACTAATGGACTGATACTCTAACACAGAAATCCTTCTTTAATTTCAATTTCCAGTAAATAAGACATATAGGATTGTACGAAAAGGAAGTGAAGACTATAATAAAGAGATGATGATATATATTTATGTTTCAAATATATTTGTACATAAGAATACACAGTTTGTGGAGTGCTGTATTATTTTTATAGGGGAATGGCACCAATTTGGGGTGGTGAATGTGGCAGTCTTTGCCACATTGCATGCAAGTCACAGCAATGGGAAGAACAGTAGTGGAACAGAATGGTGGCTTGCATTGCAGCTGCTGAGACACCAGACTAAGCAAAAGCCAACCTTCACTGGATGTTTAATCATGACTTCCAACTGAAGCAGCTAAGGTACGCGCAAGTTCTGACAACTGCTGTGGGAACAGGAAGCTGTGGCAGAGGAGTGGGGTCAGCAACTGGAACAGTTATATCAAAGCACCGGCAGTAAGGCTTGCCAGGGCTGGCATTTTAGCTCCCACTAACAGTTTATTCTCTCACATAAGAGAGTGAGCTCTTATACCCCAGTAGTCTTATTTGCAACCAAATTTCCACTTCTATCTGTCATGGGCACCTATCCTGCCATCCAAAGCACGTGTTAATGTACATTTCATTGTAATAGCTCAGCATCAATATTCTATGTAGCAATGAAGATACGTTGCTTATACCTTTCCAGTAATTCTCTTCCCTCAAGCTTTCCTTTCTATCTTTCAGGGCCAACTCTTTCCTCATACTTTTTCCTCTGTATAAAGTCTTTTCTTTGCCTCTGTGTATCTATGCTATGTAAATAGCACAATTTCTTTCAACTATTTTAAAGTTTCTCTGTTGTCCTTTAATTTATTTCACATTCATGCAGACCATGGTATTTCATATATTATTTGCCTGAATCGCATGAATAGGATAGGAGTTTAATAGCCAGCATAATGGCTATTGCTTCCCAAGTCTTCTCATTTTGCTTTTTCTTTCCAAAACTTTGACTTCACATTTCACTGTTTGTGCTATACGCAGTCCAAAAAGAAAGCAGATTTCAGTCTTGGAAGGTTCAAAAGTCCACCAGTGGGGTTAAAAAAAAAAAAGGAGAATCAGAACAGACACACAGAGAAAATGGAAGTTATTGCGGGAAGATCTGAAGAAGAGATGTGAGACGACATGCTGGAGAGGGATACCTTCCTTTGGTTCCAAATCATGTCTTACTGAGCCTGTATTAGAGCTTTTTTTTTTTTTTTTTTAAAAATTTCTGCATAGTGATTGCAGTTAAACTAAATAATCAATAGCAGACAGTATGTGGAGACTGTAACATGAGAAGAAAATCCATTTTTTTTGAAATTCGCATGTCAAAACATTGTGTAAATTATTTCAAAACACACAGTGAACAATTCTCACAGCCCTGTACATTAATGAACAGATGAGACTAAGATTATGTCATCTTTAAATTTGCTGAAAACATGTTGCAGTGCACACTATCAAAAGAAAGTTTAAAAAAAAAAAGAATCACACTCTTTTCATGGATCGTGAGAAATTAAGAGCAGGATGGCAAAGGGTGTTTACACAGGCACTTAGCCAGGAAACACTGTGTTTTCCACAGATACAGTCATTCAGGGAGCACATCTCCTCTGATTTTTTCAAGCTCTGTCTCTCCCTGTTCTCATACCCCTGCGATTATATCGAAAATTCACTCCGTAGGTGAGAAAACACAAACAATTCTGCACAGTGTATTCAGATTCTGCCTCTTTCTTGTAGGTAAGTACTACCACACTGAGGCCATTTGTAGGAATTTTACAGAGCAAGATAAACAAATGCAAGCCTCTTAAGGAAACACATGAGCTGCAGGATGGTTTCACAGTGAATCGTTAACAAAAATCTGCATAAGAAGAACATTAAAGAATGCACTGTAAGTCTTACGTGAAATGCAGTCCTGCTTATTAGCAGGCTTCATGGAAAAGCGCGTGAGACAGAAAGTCTTGTCACTTTATTTCTGTGTGCTTTCCTGCATCTTAAGTTGCAGCTTAAGATCCCTTAGGATCATGTGAGGCTGGGTTATATATGAGAGCTGTGCTATAGTGCTGTGAGCGTGTAAGCCTAGCAGCTGGGTAGTGTTATGGTTGCTGCTTTCCTGTGCTAAGCTGATTTACTTGTTTAAGGTCTGACCTCATCATCCTGTCAGTATGGATTCCCACCTATACAGTTAGCAGCAGCTTAGCATCGGCTTGAAGAGCTTGCAGTATATTAATCAGAAGAGAGAGAGAGCGAGCGCTACCGGTATTTGTTCTTTTGTTGTCTTTTCTTAAGAAGAGGAGTTGAAACAAGAGATAAAGAATCCATTTCCTGACTGAAAGGATAGGCTTTTGTCTTTTCTTTTTTTTTTTTTTTCTCCTCCTTCCTCTCTGAAAAAAATGTCAGTATCTGGAAAGAAAGAGTTTGATGTGAAGCAGATCCTGAGGCTCCGCTGGAGGTGGTTTAGTCACCCCTCGCAAGGCTCCACAGGCACTGGAGGCTGCCATCAGCAGGGAGGGTATGAACATTTTTTTTTTCAGTTCAGAGCAGGTTGAAGAACCACTCTCGGGACAGAAATGGGCTGAAGAAAAACAGCAGTCCTGTCCACCACAACATACTGGCACCTGTGCCAGGTCCAACCCCAGTGCATCACCGATCTATTCAAACCTGGCATCAACAAAATCTTATAGAACAGCTTCGATCAAATGAGGATATTCCCAAAACAAGCACAGAGGAAAACAGTGTCAAAGATTCAAAAACCACACAGGAGTTGCAGATGATCACAGAGGAAAATTCAGGAGAATCTACAGAGAGGTAGGAGTTTTAAAGTTTGCACTTTGAAAGCCATACTTCCATTCAAGTTATTCCCTAAAACCATCTCTGTTTTATACCTAGAGTTCCTTCCTGCATTAAACTCACTTTATGTATGTGTGCACCCACATTTATATGAATAAAAACACATTCACATAAAAAAAAAAAAAGGAACGTTGTCATGACCTTTTGATATCTTTGCTTAACATAGATCGTTTCAGAGCTATTCTCTAAAAACAAAATCTGCCAGTTTGTCAAATTCTATTATAGTTTACAGCATATTAATTTATTGACTTGATTCATTATGCATAAGCACAATGAAAAAGTGAGCCTTCTGAGATACTGTCCTCGTTCTGACTTTATCAGTGGGTACAACTTTGACAAATAGGAACTGCTAGAGATGCACAGTCTGTGTCATTGCCATCAGTCTGGCAGATTTCTCACTGCCTTTCCTTTACTACCTTCTCGACAACTATAATTAACCTTGAACTAAGTGAAAGGGAAGCACCATTGCTTGATTTTTCAAAGGTTTATTTGAAATCATCTTACTCTCAAAGCTTATTTAGCATACTAGGAGACAAATACTTTTTGCAAGGTCAGATAAAATATTACAGCTACAAGACCTTAAAGGTGTAAGCACAAAAGATGGGGTATTTTTAAAATGTTAATACAGAGAACAAAAATATGAATATAAGGCATTTGATAAAACATGCCTTATAATTGTTTATGATTTCTTTCAAAATTGATGTCAATATTACTAGCTCATATGACAGCAAATTTCCTCCACCTTTATCCCACCTTGGACTCAAATTTTGCATTTCTAATGTGATTATTTACACTGTATGATGGGATTGCTATCTGTCTTCAGGAATAATTTAGGATATTTACATTATACTTAAATACAGATCTATCTTACTTGAAGTTATAATTTCTCTCAGTAAAACAAAGCTAACAGCTTGTATATTTTTAGCAGTTGTTATTCTTCAAATTGTGCATCTGGTATAGGGAACATCTGCAGTCTGAACAGTAGAAAATGCATTCCAAAATGTCATTTTGAAAAGTTCTAGTAGTCAATGCATACCACATTAAATTCATTATAAAATAAAATTAGTGAGGCAGGAACGTGATAGTTATGTATGTTTACTACTGTACTGCTTTGTAATGGATAAGAAACATACTCTTGGTATATCTTATTTTAAATGACAACACAAATTTTCTAAAAAACATAAATTGACAGTTATATGCACACATGAGAAAGAAAGCCAGTTTAATCCGAGGAAGATTAAGGAACACTGAATTAATAAAATAACATTGTATCTATATCATGTAAAGAAGAAGAAAAAAGCATAAGGCATTCACTTTGGAAGGTATTAAGGCGCTGTCTTCTAAAATAAGATGTGACATTTTCCCCACCTACATATGGACTTTCTGTTAAGACCTCATGAAATTTTATGCCTTCACATTCATTCAAATTTAGGTTCTTCTCTTGAGTTGTTTAAATATGCAGCTTTTCAGAAAAGTTTTGGGAGGTATATATCTCATATTCAAGTAAACATATTTTTTGTGAATTTAATCAATAAAGGCTTATTATACATGTTGTATACTAAAGCCTATCTTAACACATCTTAAAAGGCTAAATTTGTAAGAATTTCATTAAAAAGTAGTGAATTACTATGAGTAACACTATAAGTCAAATTTTTTATCAAGAAAATAAAATAGATCATTAGAAAAATCTTAGCTTAGTTCCAACATCTTAAATATATACCAAGAAAAATTCTAAGTAAATCATCATTCTTCTCCCTTACAGCATCCAACAAAGGCCACACAAAAATTAATATGCTTGGGTAGGAATGAAATATCAGCATGCTTTAGTCATAGGAAATAAAGAGAAGAAGCCTTACATCTTTAGTAAAGGTTGCTGGATATATTTTCATCTCTTTAGGAAAATAACTCTTCTTATACCTTTGAAATCATCCTTTTAAATCATATTGCGCCTGGTTCTTCTTTGAAAGGTCTAGGTAGTCACAACTGATTCCAATCAATGGGGTCTGCAAGTGATTAACACTTCTGAAAAACAGGCATTTACAGGATCACCTAACCCCATCTTTCTACACTATTAAAGCCACAGCATAATGAACTTTACAATTATTGCAGCCATGTGCTCTTTCACATTCATACCTGAGTACACCAAAGACAATCTCAAATAAACTTTGCTTTCATTCCATAAAAAAAAATCATATCTTCAGAGTGGTTGTCTCTAATCATGCCTGAGCTTGCCTCTTCCTGAAGAAGCCCCATTTTCAGTTGGACTCCAAAGCACGACAAAGTGAGCACACTTTGACATCAAAAAAATGGGAAAGGCTAGGAAATCACACCAGTATCTCTATCATGAGCAGACTATGAAAGCAATTTGTTTTAGCAGCTTAATGCTTCCTACCAGAAAACTTTGGAGAATTTTCTTAATTTCTTCAGAAAACTTTTGAGTTGCCTTTTTTTAGAAACCTAGGAGTTATACTTTCAGTGATGCAAACATAGCGGACTGTGGGGGCCCTTGGATTTGTGTGAACCTTATTTGACAGAAGTCTGTAGTGCAAAATGGGGTATGCAAAAGAAAAACCGTGATTCCTAAGAATTTATGCATCAATCTCTAAAATTTCTTGAAGGAGTTCTACATCCTCCAAAAATCATAAATAGTGAAAGATCTCGCAGCATATTTGGGAACCTTCTTATTGATTGTTACTAGGGGAACATACTCAAGAGATATCAAATGATATTCTGGAAGCATCTAACATGATTGGTCTTGAATTGTTACAACGAAACAATTATTTTTATGAGAGTCGCATCTGTAGTTTTGAAAAAAGCTAACAGTGGGAGATAATACCTTTCATTGTCCTGGTCTGATTCTCATCAATCTACTGTTTGAATGAAGATTAGGTGAAAAACAGAGAAAACAGCAAAATGCTGCATTGTTACCAAGATCTTTTATTTATTTGCACGCTATTTCCCACTGTAAAACGTTATGGTATTACTGGGCTGACCATACAACTAAACTAGCAGAGAATGGCCATGCAAATAAACAGTAAAAATGTTCAAAGATTTTTGGTTTGATTAAAGGTAGTAGAAGAGTAAGTGATCTTTGAAACAATGCATGGTAAATAAACTGTGAATTGCTACTGGTTGAGAAGATGATTGCAAATTTTGTACACCTTAGATAGTCTTTTGGTGATCATCTCAGGTCTCCTCTAACCATCTTATCAGGAATCTGTTGAAGTTTAATCTTCTCCGTCAGGAAGACCAAAATTCCTGAAAGTAGGTTCCGTTTCTTTCAAAGAAAATAGTCTGGCAGTGGTCCAGAGACATCAGAGAAAACTCTGAGGATTTGATTGCTAGATTTTGTTTACTCATCTAAAAAAAAATTTGATCTTGTGCATCGTACACAAACACACACCTGTGCACACACAAACTGAGAAAGCACTGAGACCTCCTAATAACCATAAACCTTGATACTGAATTACCTTGATTACTTCTGTTGGTAAATTCTGGACTCAAAAGCACGTCTGTATAAACCTCTTGTTTTTCTTTGCTTCTTACTGTATAATAATTTGCACAAATATATGAATTATACATTAATCATTTTGTTTTGTTTTCCAAAATATTTATTTACACTTAGAGCATACATCATTTTCCCACAGTTCTAGATATATCATCTATTCTATATGACTCCAGTCACAAATGTTTAACTGAAGTATTTAGTGGAAACTCAGTTTTTGTGAATATGAGCAATGTGCCTAGTATTTGCATTATGCTCCATTGCCACATCAATTTATGCATGCTCTCTGGGAGATATATTATGATTCTACTAGTACAGTGTTTAAAAAAATCCCAAGCCCATGGGTGCTGGTAAAGTATGTTTACCTCTTTTTCTAGTTGCCCAAAGGCAGTTAGATTTCAGTAATGAATGTAGTCTCCATCATCTCTCTCTTATGCAGTCTTCTACTTGAAAAGTTCCTGACAAACTCTAGGTTTGCTAAGAATACATACTTTCTAATTTTCCATATGAGAGAGAATTTATTTTAGTAGACGCTTTTGATACCATAATCCAAGCAGTTGTTCATGATGTAAAAGGAAAAAGATATTCAGGAGGAGAATCCTCTTTACTGAGTCAATGCATTTTCTGTAGTTTCTATTTATGAAGTTCTATTATTTTGGTAGTTCATCTTGTTTAAGACACTCATCTTAATTTTTTTTTTGATTGCCATATAGATATAACTCATAAATCGTTTCCCTCGCCCTCTCTGACAAATACATAAATGCACACATATATACACATGGCTGTTTCACATATACTCTACTACAGGGGTTTCCCAGAGTTCTTCTATCTTTACTTCCAGTAGCAGACAGTAGCCTTGACTCACATTTCAGGGTGAAATAAAGATGCACAAAAGAAAAAAGTAACCTTTTTATTGTTGCAGTATCCCAAAAGAATTAGAGAGACTGGAACACTGAACAGGTGGAAACAGCGAGCAGTGCCTGACCCCAATTTCTTGCCTATACGATGCCATTTTTTTCCTCAGCTAACGTGGCATAGGCCAAGGCCACATGCTGTCATGTTTCCTTTTGCTGAACACCCTTTTGGGGAGAGCCATTACACTATGCATTCATCATGCCCTATGAAGTTTATAACAGATATCCAGTGAAACATGATGTCTGTTTTATTTTTCCATACGAAAGATCAGTTTCAAAAAATAAAATGAGATAATTTCCCTGTGGAAACAGAACATATGGATGATTCTACAAAACCATTGGTCAAAACAGATTTTTCTTCCACATTAAGAGTACAGTCCTGAGATCCAAATAAACAAAGTACAACCGATTCATGAGAATGATTGAAAATGAATTCCAATGCATCAATTTTCCAATTTTACCTGTTATATGAACGGATGTATCCTTTGCAGAGATGATAAAGTGCTGCATTCAGAGTAGTACATCATGACACTATTTCC